GATCTGGTGGTGGGGAGTAAGGAGCAGGGGGGGGGGGTGTTATCAGGGGCCAAACTCCTTCCTGTTTTTATTTAAACCAGTTTCCTTTGTTACTCAACATAATAAAAATATATTTTTAAAGAGTTAATTGCTTGGATTATTATTTTATTCCTTGAAGACAAAAGAGGGCAGGTGTCTCGGTGTTTAACGTGGCATTGGACTCTTTATTAGACCTCGGGCTTGCCTGGAAGCTCGTTTAACCTCCTGCAGGATGGGGCTACGAGGGATGCTCAGCAGCGATTGGTGCTGCTGCGACCCTTGCTGGAGAGAAGGGATTTTTCTGTCCCACGTCTCCGGGCCGGGCAGGGTCTGTTCAACTCACCGGTGCCCTTCCTGCAGAAGCCATCACCTCAGCATCCTTTCGCTCGGTGCAGGACTGTGCCAGGATCTGTGGTCCCCCTGCCTAACCCGGCCCTCTCCGGCCCTACCGGTGGGTATTGAGGTGCGTAATCTCTGGTGTCTTCCCCAGGAGGATGCCTGCCAGGACTTTGCCATTTCCTGCACAGCCTGACGGGACTTGCCCCCTCCTTGGACGTTAGCCCTGCTTTCTGAGGGTTAACTGGTAAGAAAGCGCTTTCTTCTCCCTGTCATCTGCTTGAGCGACCCATCTCATCTCCACTGCATGACCAGCTCTGCCCACGGAGCCCATCACCCTCCAGTTGTGTAGACATCTGTGTGCCGTGTGTCCCGTCCATCCCACCAGCATCCCACCGGCGCGAGGTGCTGTGAGCCCTGTGTTGTGCCGTCGCGGTGCGGGGCTGCCTGGCAGAGGGGTTGCCCACAGCCTTGGCAAGAAGAGAGGGACGGTTTCCCCCAGCTTTGTGCTGGGGTTTGGTACGAGATGGAGCCACCCGGTCCGCGTGGTGGTGCGTGGAAAGCGGTGTGGCTGAGGGTTTGTGAAGCCCGGGGCTCGTGGGGTGGCACACCGGGGTGGTTTGTGCTCGGTGGAGCTGCCGTGATGGGCTTGGAGGGTGCTCCCAGCTGATGCAGAGATTTAGTGTTTGGAGCGAGTTGTCCCCCAAACAGAGGAGTGGGAGCCTGGAAGAGATTTCTAATCCCAGCTCTGACCTGCTCTGTGGTTCAGGTAATCCCTCCCCTATCCCCCACTCTCGCCTGTTTTCTTCTCTGTCACACCAGGTTCCTCCCCTGGTGTGCCCGTAAGTGCGGTAAGCTCCTTCCAAAGCGCATTGCAATGAAGCCCGTCTTCGCTTGTGGGCTGCAGAGCTGCCCCTCACCCTCCTGTGCACCCCTGCCTTCTCCCTGCCTGCGGCACCCCATGGGCTCCTGCCTGCTGGAGCCTCGGTGGCAGCAGTGATGCAGAAAAGCTGCCCGTGCTCTCCTCCATCCCGCATTGTCTCCTCTTTCTGCCACCGAGCCTGGGTGCCGCGCTCTGCTCCCTGCTGCTCCTCACTTGTGCATTTCTGGCGCTAACCCTCTCTTTCTCTTTCTCTTCCTCCCCTCTCCTCTCTCCCTCGGGCCGTGTCCATCCAGTATCAAGAGCCCTGGCGGCCCGCAGCCCTCTTCCCCTCCTGGAGCACCCTGCGGGGAGCCAAGAAACCGCGGGCAACACCCGAGACGACAGCCATGACCACCACGAGTGCCTCCGCTCGCCAGGGCTACGCGGCTGCGCCTTCCTCCCTCCCTCCCACCGCAAGAGAGGGGGGAAAGCGGCCATGCACAAGGAAAAGCTTTTCCAACCCCCCTCCGGGAGCCGGGACGGCCGTCCCGCGGGTTCAAAGCTCAAAGCCATACAGCCGTCCCACCCGAGTGCAATAACTGGAGTTCCTGCTGTCTCCTGCCACTGGATGGACTCACGCACCGGAGCCGTGGCCGCCGGTGGCTCCCCGTAACCACCAGCCTTACCCCCGGTGAAGGTGTCTCCCCTCCCGCAGATGCTGGAAGATAGCGGTTAGCATTCCAGCCGGCTTTCCAGACGAGCAGGCTTCGCGCCAGCGCGTTTACAGCCAAGCTGCTGGTGTTACACACCCGACCCCACCAGCCCCTCTCCGAGCCGCCTCCATGTGCCGGCGGACTCTCTGCAGACCAGAAGTTAGCGCCCGGTCAGAATTCACCCCTGCAGCCCAGGCAGCAACCCCGACTCCTGTTTCGTCGTAGCGTGGCTCTAGTTTTTGGGGAAGGGGTTCAAGCCCCGTGGGACCTTGACCAGGCACCTCCGCAGCCGGCGGTGCGGTGGCTGCAGTTCCATCTGGGCACTCCGGCACCCAGCACCGCGTCCTCCCACCGCCGGCGGCTGAGCTGGGGGCTGGGCCGCCCCATCTGTGCCCCCCTTCCC